GGTAAAACAGCCTGCCTCTCGAGCTGCTGCTTTTAGGGTGGTGTGAAGCATGCTTTCTATTTTGTTCATTGAACAAAGCAACCCCTTGGTGGCAGCAGGTTGGAAATGAGCTACACTTCGGTGTCTGTGTGCTCTTGGGGAAGACTGGAGCAATTGGTCCTTGCTTCCCCAACTGGCTAGGAACTCATCCCATGCTCAGTGCCAGACACAGCTGCAGCACCTCTTTAGTAGGAACGCAAGAGCTTTCCTGGTCTCCAGGGAGAGAGACTTCCATGCTTCCAAGTGTCCGGGGGAAGCATTCAAAAAAAGTAAATGCAAAGCAGTGAGTCAGACAATAAAGGTGGTGTCAGATGTAATCCAGAATGGAAGCTGCATGTTGGCTGCTTGTCTTGCAGGATAATCTTTGTTCATAGAAGTAGACATCAGATATTAGGAGAAATGTCTTCTCCAAAGACAAGTCAGGCACTGGCACAGCTGCCCAGGGAGTAGGGGAGTCACTGTCCCTGAAGTTATTCCAGAATGGGGGGGATGTGACACGTGGGGATATGGGCAGTGGGCGTAAGGGTGGGCTGGGGTTGGATGTGGTGATCTTAGAAGTCTCTTCCAACCTGAATGATTCTATGGAAACACTGTAGAATGAAAACACTTTGTTTTAGAGCACCAGGTATTCTCAGAGGAGCTGCTAGGCTATGTAGAACCAGGCTGCCCACATCCCTAAGTTCCCCCCTCTCCTGCTGGTGGCATTGCTTCTGTAGCTGCTGATGGTGGGGCTGCAGGGTCGATGGCAGCACAGCGCTGCTCGCCCTCAGATGCATCCCAAGGCTGAGCACATCTCAGAAATCCTGAAATCAGAAGCTGCACGCTGGCTACTTGCCTTGCAGGATAATCTTTGTTCACAGAAGTAGACATCAGATATTAGGAGAAATGGTTTCTGCAAAGAGCAGTCATGCACCACTGGCACAGGCTGCCCAGGGAGGAGGCAGTCACTGTCCATGGGGGTGTTGCAGAAAAGGGCAAGATATTGCACTGAGGGATGTGGTTTAGTGGTGTGGTGGTGATTTATCGGTGATCAGATTAGTTGAACTTAGTGGTCCTTCCAGCCGTAATGATCCCAGGATTCTATGACTCTCCCCACCTTTTTTCTAAGGGGGAAGTAATCCAAGCATGCAGTGGTGATTTATAGGAGCACAGTCAGTTATGGACCGCCCTGGGGACAAGTGGGTCATCCTGGGGTTCAACAAAGAGAAAGAACAGTCGTGTGATTCACCCTATGGAAGTTGGCTTGGAATAATGCCCTGAATGGGCAAAAATACAGGCAACGTGTCATGCCAGCATTGCACTGCTGGTGAACAGCCAGGCTGTGTGCTTGTGTTCACTTCTAGCTCTCCCCAGCCCCAGGTCCTGCTTTATGTGATTTGCTGACCTGCTGTAAGGTCAGGTGAGGAATTGGCTCTTTTCCTCGCAGAGCAGAGCGCTCGGCCTCTCGATCTCCTTCACACAGTGCCAAGCACGCTGCTGGGCACTGCAGTAATTAAGACATAATCATGGTACTAATCAAGTAAATAAGCACATGTTGACAGGTCATCAGGACTGCTGTGTCTCATGTCAGAGTTGTTCGTGGGGTTAGCATGGCCCAATGGCCAAATCCCTTCTGCTGCTGGCATCTCACCATGGCCAGGTCTCTTGGTTGAGCAGCTCAGCACTCAGCAGTCTCCAGTTGACATTGACCCCATAGCAATGCCAACCTCTGCCCACTGGAACCTCTTGGAATTGTGTTACTGCATGTGGTGGTAAAGAAAAAAAAAAAAAAAAGATTTGATGTATTAAATGATGAGAAAAGGCTTCTTACTGTCAGTTTTCATCTCAAGGCACTTGTGACTTTTCTCTCCAAGTGGAAACATCACATGTGGGCAGTTTCAAAACAGTTTCAAAACAGTCACTGGGCTGCATAGGTAGAGAGGTTAAGTAAAAACTCCCATTTAAAAAAGTGCAATATTGAGAGAAATGCTCAGGGGAGACAGTATTTGCAGTATAGTATTTGTGCTGTAGTTATATTATAGTATTTGCATTATACTGCTATTAAACATGAACACTGATTGGAAAATGCATCTGATCTTGGGATCAGAGACTTAGTGTCAACCAGGATTTTTTTTTCTGTGATCCTGTGTCAGAATACCCAACTTGTATAGAAAAATTAAACTGTTGTTACTTCAATTTCCTTTCAATTAATCACTGTGATTAATTAAGTCAGTTTATTAGGCAGGGATTGTTAATTGGTGGAGCACACAGAGTGGGAAAGAAAGGGCAGAGAAGGCAGTGCAGCCTCCTTCTGACAGAGCTGGAAGGCAAAATAAAACGACTTAAACACTTTCTGAGCAAATATAAAACTTGTGTCGTAACAAAAAATAAAATCCGAGTAACAAATGTGCAGCACTTTAATGTCAGAACTGACCGTCATTGGAGCTGTTCACAAGTAGTGTGGACAATCAAGTTGTACTTCATTTTTCTAAGTATGATATATAACCATTAGGATAATTTAGAAAACACATCACCAGAACTTGGGCTGAGGGGGAAGGAAGGGAACATCTTTGGAAGGTCCAAATGGGAGTTTCCAAGTGAACGCTAGTCCGATATCTTGCGACAAACAGGGAGCAGTGAGGTCTGTTACACATCTTTCACAGCCTACATATAAACCAGCCTCGAGTATTTACCTGAACAGATATTTACAGGTTGCTTTTTTTCTTTTTTTTTTTTTTTTTTCTTTTAAGTATTCTTAAAAAAGTAATATTTGATCTATGACACAATGGACGTCTCTACAGGGAAACATAGGCATAACAAAATATTCGAGAAGTCATAAAAGAGAACACGAGAGCAGTGTTTGGCCTCAGTAGAACACATTTAGGATGAACTGCAATGTATGGATACAACTTTGCTCAAGAAAGGAGTTGTGCATATTTAAAGGTACTTACAGAGCTGGTCTCCTCCTTTTCTTGACATGGGTATGTTTCCTAAGCAGATGAGTAGAAAATCATGGACACCATGCATTGCTAAGGGAAGGCTATGCTGATCTCTTTTATATGCCTGTGCTGCAATGAGGGGATAGTCTCTTCTAACCCCTATGGCTCATCAGTGACAATACATGTAGGTTTAAGCCTATGAGTGTTGAAGGGCAATTTAAAGGACGCCGTGTTGAATGAATTCATAGGATTCATCTCCTCTTCTTTGTCTGTCTGAGCAGATTTGTATATGCTTTCTATAGAACCGAAATGGTTTAAATTCCTTCAGGTCTACAGCCATGCTGAAATACTTCTCTTTTGGTTACAGTTGAACACTTAAAGCACAGATTACCATTGCCAGTCTGCATCCTTTTCACTCACTCGCTTTAAGGCCCTCTGTGTGCACTGTGAAATGGCTGACTTTAAAGCACCTCTGTTGGAAAACCATTACTGCGCCTCTAAATATGTCTGGATGTGTGTGTGTGTGTGTGCAGTGCTTGCTTCCATACAACTCTGGGCAATGAGGTCATTCTCAAAAGGAGCTGGGTCTTCCAAAAGGACAGTGCATGGCTCTGATGCAGCAGATGTTGACCTGTGGGGAGAGCTTGCCCCCACACCAAGGCCACACTTCAAAGCAGTGCTGGGATCCAACTGCTCGTGGCTGTGGTGTTCCCGTGGCTTTGCACCATTTGCGAGCCAGAGCTGCTCCTGCCCTGATTACTTCACAGTAATGAATATAGAAAATTATAAAAAGCAATTAGAAAAGTTTTTATGTCTTACCAAATGGATCTGTATTTTTATGGGAACTGATGTGGAATTTCTTGATGCCAGCTGTTGCATTCTTGGGTAATTCTGCTGGTTTTACATGAACTTCTTTGCTCATAACTAAAAGATAATTGGCTATAAACGAATGTACTGGAAATGGGGAGAAAGAAAACAAAGAATGGTTTCCCAGAATGTCTGAAAAGAAACAGGCAAGCAAAGGCTGCAACTAGAAAATGAGTTTTCTGCTTAAAATACTGATTGTAGTTATTTTATGAAGAGCCTAGCAACTTCAGCACTGCTAAATATTTGATGAGAGCAACCAGTAACTTCCAGAAGTGCTGCTGCCTCCTACTGACTACGATTGATTCTCTGCCCACTGAAGAGCAGATTTTGCATCCTGTGCCCAAGCTGACGGCGCTCACAAGATGCTTAAGGACTAACACCTCCATTTTCTCTCCTTCTAACAATATCTGACCCCTCCCAGTCCTTTCTGGCTTTTACGGACTCTAATGGCCTGGATATTTCATGCTGAATTTCTCCTATGCAATCTTATATGTATGTGTTAGAAGAGGCAGAGCTCGTAACATTGCTTTCAGTAGTACCAGGAGCAAAATTAAGCACCAAAGACAGCAAGCTGACAGTTACTATTTCTGTTGTGCCTCTTTCTGAAACCACATCCATGAATCCTCCCAAAGCCAACCTGCAGAGAAAATGGATCGGTTTTCATTAAATCTCTCTCCCAGGTCTCTGTGGTTTGAAAACTGCTCTCTGATGGTTAATTTCCTTTGTCACCGTGTATTTTAGATGCAGAAATTGGGCAGGGCAGCTGGCATGGCCGGGGAGGGAGGAGGGGAGAGAACGGGTGGTGTGAATATAACAAAAAGCCCTTCAATATGGGAACTCAAAATCGGTTTTGTTCTACAGAATCACTAGGTTTTGTGGCTTACGTGGTAGCTCAGTGGAGATATTTGCTTCCCAGCGTTTTCTCATAACCACAACTCATACCCCCAAATAAAAAAATATCCCTTCAAAACCACTTCCTATTAGCAGAGCATACCTTGTATTATAAAACTTGCAAGTAGACCAGTGTTGTACCATGAAGCCTATACAGGGTTGGTTTGATTTTTCTTTTTTTCTTTTTTCCCCTGGTGTAAAAAATATACAATGCTACTGCTCACTTGTTGCAGCATAAAGGTCCAACTGGTACTGTCTGCCAAAGGCTCTGCTGCTGCTGCCCTTTCATACCTCCCCAACCCAGACCACTGTGTTACCCCTCCTTATACCTGAAACCTCACAGCGTAACGTGTTTTGCCTCCCATTTATAACAAACAATGAATCTTTCGCTGGTGTAATGAGATACTGTCCAAACAACCCACTGTCTTTCACAATTCTGTTGTAGCTGCTCCAGGGCCAGTCTTTGGATGTGATAGGGTCCTTTAAATTCTTCAGTACATTCATTTTCCCTGTCGACAGCTCTACGAAAAGCACATCTGTTTGCAAATGTGAAGTCGCATATATATAGTACTGATTGCCTTCGGTGAAAGAGGGTTGAAATGTCAGATCAGATACGTGTATGTTTGTTTGTAAGTCATAAATCAGCTTGATTTCCCCCTGGACGGTCACAGTCTGGACCTGGATCCTGCCTCCATCCCCATCCGCGCTGACCAGGAAGCGCCCATCCGGTGAGATGTGAGGTGTGCCCAGCACGGCGCCGTTGGTGCCGACCACGGCATCGGTGACGCTGTCGATGAGGAGCTGTGGGGCAGCAGCCCCCCGCTGGTCCCTGCACTGCACCAGGAAGTATCCCCCCAGGTGGGTGTAGGCCATGGTCTGTGGTGCGCAGCTGTAGTTCCTGAAGCTGATGGTCTTGATGTGGGTCACTGTTTCCAGGTCGATCTTGCGGACGGTGGGTTTTGATTTGTTATAAATGAAACCAAACCTGAAAGAGAAAACATGACACTGAAGTCATCTCCGGAAACTCAGGGGTAAGCTTGGAGAAAGAAGGAAGACAGCAAAAGTGGGAGATCCCTTCCTCTTCATTCTGTGTGCAATAACGCTGTCTGGCTTCAGCAAGAAATCCCTCCTGTTTCAGTGCTTCTGAACGTGCTACAAGGAGGAACTCGGTTACAATTAGCAACCTGATGCTGGAAGCTTGACTGTGTGCTTGGCTAATGTTCTCCAGATCCCACATCTCAGTAACAATGACATCAGAGCTTGGGGTGTTCTCTAGGCAGGCACTAACAAGCTAAGTATTCAATCTGTTTCAGATTCGATCTGTTTCTCTGGGTGGAGAGCAGCTCTGATCTCTGCATGTAACTACAGAGTGACCCAACGTGCCCAACCCTGCATCTGAAACTGGAGCATCCGAGGGCAGAGCAGACTGTCCCAGCAGCCTGGAAGGTAGGAGCAGAACGAGCAAAGGTGGGCTGAAGAAAAGTGTCTTTGTTTTCTTACTCCAGAGGGCCGACAACAGTGAGCAGAGAATAAATGTTCTCTAGGAGATGGATGTTGCAGCAAAGCTGACCTTTGCTGAAGGAAAAAAAAAGAGAGCCAGGAAAGGTTTCAGCTTAATTTGAGCAGAGCCCATAGAAGCAGCCTGTTTGTGTTCCCCTGGATTCATAGGTCGCTGGTACTGACTTAGAAAAAACTAATTTTATGTTGAATCTCTTTTTGTCCATTCAGTGCAGAGGGAAGGGAATGAAGCGAGCACTTAATTTTGCATCTTTTCCCTGAAAGATTTAAAATTGCTTTTTGAAACATGGAGGACTGTGCTTGCTGCAGATAATAGATATTTTGCTTAAAACACTGCATTTATTATTTTTTATCCCTAATCCGTCTGTCAATGAGATGCTCAGCAATGATTTCACATCTGAGGACTGAGCCAATGCAGTGTATCATCCCATGAAAATCACTGGCTAAGCCTCTCATTTTTCCATTATACTCACATCCATTAGAGGCTTCGCAAAATACCTGCAGTAGAGATTCATAGTGCAGAGTGTGTGGGGAAATTGAATATGGCACTTACGCTTCCCTTGGATGAATGCATTTTAAAGTACACTTTAAAAGATGCTTCTCCTGACAGTATTTTTTTCCTTGAGACTTCTTCAATTCTTGGCCAAATGCCTCAAGAAGTTACAAAAAAAAAAAAAAAAATAAAATAGTTCTTACACAAACTTCAATTTAAAAAAAGTGGGTCAGGATGTATCTTGTGTGCATAGAGCTGCAGGAGAAGCTCAGTGCTCATGTGAGACCTGTGATGCAAAATCTCAAAGAGAACCTTGCACTTAAAGAGATTGTAATAGACAGCAACCTACCCTGGGAACTCATTCACATGGCTACGTTTCCAGATATCCATCCGAAATAACAGGCAGCCAAAAGACATGCAGGAACATTTGCATACAAATATTTTGGGCTCTCGGAAGAGATTGCTTAAATATTCACCTTCCTGAGAAATGCTGCTATCACCATTTATTGTTTCTGAGTGGAGAATTTAGCACATGAACCCAATAAGTCTCATTAGACTGTGAGCAATTATTTTTTGTGCTGAAGGTGAGTGAAAACTGAGAAAGATCTGGCCTGAACAAATGAAATAGGAAATTAGACACAGCGTTGCCTGCTTTGCACAGGGAAACCTATCTGCAATTGCCTGTGTTTAATATTTCTCATGAAAGATCATCTGTTTGCAGCTGATGAATTGTACTGAAGGAAAAAAAAAAAACCCCACAACAACCAAAACAAAAACCCAGCACATAAAAGGAGTAAAAAAAAATTCAATTATTCCACCTTCCTGTGTTTGAACCTGGACTGCACCTCCTCATCCCAATCCATTACGTGTAGCAGCCACACACCCCTGCACAGCTCTCGCTTATAACAATGGTTTAAATGCAAACTGGAAAGAGGAGGTAGGGGAAAATGAAGAGTGACAGCCATGAAATATGTCTTATTTCATGTTTCAGCAAGCAAAGTTATTTATTTTGTATCACGTTCAACCCCAAATCATTTAAGCGTGACCCTCCGTCCTCAGTGATCATTGCAGGGAACCTAAGCTTAATGGAGGGAGTTGATTATGATTTCTGGAGAGTTTAACTTAGTTAAACTGTATTGGTGACAGGAGATGATTAAGCAGTTGTTGTAATGGGGTAAGAAGAGTATAAATTGCTGTGAAGTTATCATCCATTTTGCTAACTTTAATGGGAAGCTTCCTGTTCCTGCTGGGAAGCAGTCAGTATTACTGTAAGTTATTAGTATGTTAGTTATAAAATCTCATTAACCACTCCATCACATTAACATTCAAAACTGATAGTTCAGAGAACTGATTTTCTTCTTTCTAATGTGCACTGCGTATCATTTTTTCTGCTCAAACCCTGCTCCTCACAGACAGAGCCAAGATTTGAACAAGCAGTTGTAAACGTGGCCTGAAGCAGAACAAACCTTTACCACTAATGGCAGTAAATCTTTGATTCTAAAGCAGCTTCCAGGCAGGGAAGCCAACCTTCTAACCACTGTGTTCCTAGTACCAACACACCAGGGCAATGCTGCACAGAAGCACGGCTGGCAAAGCCTGGGCCAAGGGAAGCCCAGATTTGTTCCTTGCTGTCTCAGTGCTTTGCTGAATAACAACTAACCAGCATGCTCAGTCATTTCTCCTTTTTTTTTGTGCACAAAAATGATAAGAGTATTTAGCTCAAGCACACGCTCATTCATTAACATGGGTGAAGTGCTGTCAGGATGTTTGACGGGTCCCACAGCAGTGAGCAGTATGGGCACCGTCGCTATTCATTAAGATAATTTCTTACCTAACGTGATTAATAATAAGATTTGTAGGTGGTATAAAGAAGTCATCCACTCCTTTGAACGGCGTGCGGATCACACGCTGCTCCTCCCCTGCGCTCGCCTCCGGTATCACCTGCAATAAATACACAGGGAAGCAGTGACTGAGGCAGAAAGGTAAATACAGATTACACAGCCAAACCTGGTACCTTGGCTTTTCCCAAGGATGCAGTAGGCTCAAATTGATTAACGGCTTCAAAATACCGTTTGGTGTAGCTGCCTTGAAAAAGTGGGCTAATAAATAGTATTTGAGGCTTGACATTTGTAAGGTAAGTACACAACTCTGCTTTCATAAGGCATTTATATTGCAAGAAAGAGCAGTCGTGCGGAGCTGAAATAGCACGACAGCACAAAAACCACAATAATTTATTCCTCACTGTCTAAAATAAACATTTAGTTCATGGTCATATTTATTAATCTCACTTAGGTGCAGAGCAATAATTTACCAGCCTGAAGGCTCAGCCACTCACTCACAGCACTTAATTATCACTTTGAAGGAGAAGACCTGTCCATCCATTTGCCACACCATGCAGGACTCATGGGCTGTGACAAAGTCCCTTCTTCATTCCTCCCATTCTGTCCCCCAGCACAGAGACCTTTCCACTACCTCACCGGACAGAGAGAGGCAGCTTTCAATACTTAAAATGTTCTCAAACAGTTTGCTTGGCTCAAGATGACTTCAGTCCATTCATTAGGATACTCTGTTCATGCAATGTGCAACAGCAGTTGCTTTGAATTTATGGCCACATAATTCATTGAGGGAATGCTAAAGCCTTTCAAGGTTTAGGTTCAGGCAGCTGTTCCAGCCATGCCATTTAGATTTCTTCCAATTAAACTGCTCAAGAAAGATGTCTGTTCTTGCACCGTGCTTTCTCAGGGCCACAGACAGCACTGGATGTTTCCTTCCCAGGAGCCCATCATGGCCAAACAACAGCATCCCCTCAGCCAGCTCGTGGGCCGTGTGACAAACCTCTGACATCCCAGAACTGGTGGAAATTTAGGGCAGCTTCCATGGGAGCATTTTTTTGTTCAAGAACATTTGATTGCTTTTCTGCTGTTCTCATGCATAAACTTCACCAAATGAGCTGCTGGTCACCTTGTGGGAAAGACAGGGGGAAAAAAACCCAAAAGAATCTGCTGGTGTGGATGCTAATCTCAGTCACCACATGTGTAACTGCACTTTATAACGATAACAGAAAGCACTATCTGAGCTGGAGCCTCATAACAAGTTTCCAGCTGCGCAGATGGTGTGTTCTTCTCAATAATCACATGCTTGAGACATCTCTCCCTTAATTACAGAAACCTCTCACAGCTGGATGGAGGAAATTAAGTCAGAGAGAGTAAAAATAGCCCATTTTGTCTCCTTATAACCTGCACAGCCCACTGCAGTCCCCAAGCGAGGTGAACTGGCATCAGTGCCTCAGAACCTTTTTTCCTTTTGCCTCCATTCTGTTTCTGGTGCCTTTTCCTGGAAATGCTCAGAGTGCACCCTCTGCCTGTGCTGTTTTCAGGTCAGAAAGCACAGAACCTCTTCCCCACGCCATCCTCACGCTGTCAGGGAATGCTTTCATGCAGCCCTAGAAGCAAATTTTGTGGTGCAGTGAATATTCACCCTTCTTCTGTGGGTCTGGGAAGGTTGGGCAGCAAGTGCTGGAAATTAACTACTGCAGAAGGGAACGCCTGGCTGGATCAGATCAGGGCTGGTGTTTGTCAGAGGACATACAGCAGCAGCAAAATGCCCAGTTAGACACCTGCACTTCTGTGCCATCGACACGAGACGAGCAAATCCCACAGGGCCATGCAAAAAAGGAAGCTAATTGGGATGGCCAAGCCTGTGTGCACCGCTGTGCCCTGAAAACCTACAGTGCTGCTGAGCACAGGCAGCAAAAAACAGAGTCACAGACACAAAAAGTGCCCCTCAGGTCCTGTTTTGCTCTTTATGCCTCTTTCATGCCATTGAGAGTTGTATTTTTTTTTTTGGCTTCTTTTATTTTTTGGGGGGGGAGAAGATGTGAAGCTGGATTTAAGAACACTATCACTGACTTCTCCTTTTTACTTCATCATACACAGCTTTCAGAAGCACTGAACAAACTACCTTCTCTCTTATGATTTGCATTTTACTCTGAGAAGAATGCTGTTGTGCCATCACCACTGGGAAAGAATAAAAGAAAGCTGAAGGCTTGTGAGAGGGAAGCCACAAAATAAACAGAGTTTAAGGAAAACAAGAAACAATTTAGTGCATAGGCAGAAAACTTGGACTCCCAGATTAAAGGCTGTTAAATTACTTGCAAGCAGCCCACCACACACCATGCTCAGCAATGGAAGGACTCACCTGCAGTGTTGGCGACGATCGCTGCATATCACCCCAGCTCAGCACCCACACCTGGTCATGGGATTTGTCATAATGCAGTTTGGTTGGCAAAGGGTCCACGTCCACAGACTTAAAAAAATAAAATAAAATAAAATAGGAGATGATACATGTTTACATAGTGACACAAATGTCCCTAGGCACATAGCAGATACATTAGCTCACTGCTGACATTCCCATGTACCTCTGCTACACTCATTTGTAAGCTTTGTACAGTTTCCTTGAAATCAATCTGGTGATCAGCAGCAGCTCCAGCAATAGAAAAGCTGGCTGCTCAGCTTCATTCTCTGGCTGCACCTCTTGCTGTTGCTTGCAGCCAGCAACTCAGGGGTCAACTTCTGCCCCAGCCCCACCTGCATCAGTTCATTCTTCCTGACCTGCTCAGAATGGTGAAGGAGCACCATTTTACCAGGGTAGCTGCAAACCCAACTGCAGTCACAGCCCTGAGATGATGATAAGCAGCTCATAAGGGATTCTCTTCCTGGCAGTGTGGTTTCAGAATAACATAGTGTGGTCCCATGGGTGAAAATAACACAGGTGCAGCATCATGCAGAGTGATGTCAGATCCTCTGGACAGAAACCTACTTTTGTTTTCCCATAGCAAAGTCTGTTGCCATCAGTGAATAAAGAGTTCCCCTTGTAGGTACCTGCACAGCTTTCTGTGTCTGGATGTCAATGATCATTACTCTGTTCTGCTTAGGCTGTGTCACATAGATATACTTGTCTCGGACATTGACTGCAGAGGCCCAGAGGCAGGACTGAGTGCCTTCCCCTTCCACTCTGGGACAGATCTCCTCCTGCAGAAACAAAAGGGAGGAAAAGAGGCTTCATGTCTGCAAATTCTGAGTCTGGAGCAGTAAGAAGTTCGGCTTTGAAAACCACAGAAAACAATTCCACAATGGCTTTTTTGAAATTATTATTTCCTGTCTTGGAAAATGTGAAATAATTACTCGGCGTGGCACTGTGCTGCAGCCTGGCTCTGCCCCAGGACATCACGCAGCCGGACCTCTGGCAGACACACACTGCATTTAAATGATGATGTTGTCTGTGGATCTGCATTTTGAAGGACACCCTGGTTTATCAAGACTAGCAGTGCTGTCAGCATTTATATTAACTACATCACAGCTTTACATTTTTTCATACGTTCTTCATTTTCAGCTTGGGAGAGCCTGCCCTGTGATGGCTGTGAACAAAGACATGAGAGCGAAGCAGGCAGGGTTCCATCAGATGTGGCTTTGACATAGAAAGTTACCCTGTTCCAAAGGAACCAAATCCAGATGCCCTGGACCAAATCCTGATCTTAGCTGCCTTGTGCCCTATTCTGTTGAGATCTCTGAGCCCTGTGCACAACCTGTACTAGCTTCCATGGGAGCTCAATGGGACCCCAAGTAGGAAAAGCGACACGGGATCTCAGCAGAATCATTTCTCTTTCTCCTGAATTTCCCTTCTGCTGAGATGCTTTATGGGAACAAGCATTTGTGTTGGACCCAGCTGTGATGTGGAAAGGACAAACCAAAGGGAATGTGGCCAACAGCACAAGTGTTTGGTTTACATCCTGTCAGCACAGCAGCCGGGTCACTTTAAATGATGGCACTGCCCCTAGGGGGGAAGCAAATGGAGCAGCAAAGCTTGCTCAGAGGAAGAGGATGCAGAAACAAAAGCAGTGCCACCACCAAGTCTGTGTCAGAGCAATGAGTGGGAATACAGAGATTGCACCTGCAAGCAGCACAGCCCTGTCAAGAACTTGCTGGAGGCCACATGCAAGGGATGAAGTGATACTACAGTACAGCATGCTGCAAAAGCACCAAACAGATTCTGGACTGCCCTCCTCATCCTGAGAGCTCCTTGGCCACAGCACCCACCCCACCAAGGAGAACTCACCATTCTTTTCTGCTACATGCTTTGCTGCACTTCTAATAGCAAACAAAACCACTTTTAGTGTAGGAACCATCCTAAAACTGCAGGATGATATCACTGTCCACATGGCAAACACTCAAGATGCTGAAAGGGGAAAAAAAAAAAAAAGAAAAAAAAAAAAAAAAAAGCCAAACCTCCCTTGAGCATGGCAAAGGGCCCTGTGATATCTGCAGGAAATGCTGAAAGGTCTCTCTGTAAGGCAGCCAAATAATGGTGATAAAAATCCCTTTCATGCCCACCACTGTGCTGACATTCTCTAAGTGCCCTCACTCTGCAGTGCTTTGCAGTCATTTCTCCAGAACCACCCCTTCGACATTTACAGCTCTCTGTAAAGGAAGGACAAGGTGTGTACACCCTTCTGAAGTAACAGCTGAAGTGTGGGTTAATAATATTAAGTCCATGCTAAGGGCTAAGGGCCAATCCTGGGGTGAGCATCGGTGGGTTTCCAGTAAGGTTTATAAATACATCAGTGGGAAAAAAAACAACAACAAACCCAAATCAACAAAACATTATCAACCACAAACGTAGGAGACTTGGCAGAACACCGAATACAGACTCACAAGAAGATGGTGACCCATGGCAGAGGTGAACTGAAAGCAAGGCTGAGCCATTTTCCTCAGAAGGGAAGGAACCACATGCTCAGCTCTCTGTTAATTGGGTCTTCCCATAAAACTAAGCAATGAAGTGATTAAGAAAGCATCTCTTAAGCCTGTCCCTTAAGGAGATGCAATAGTTCATAGCATCATAGAATCACAGAATCACAAGGTTGGAAAGGACGTACAAGATCATCTAGTCCAACCGTCCTCCCATCACCATTGCTACCACAAGCACTAAGCCATATCTCACAGCTCCTCATCCAGACACCTCTTGAATATTGCCAAGGACAGAGATTCCAGCACCTGACCACTCTCTGAGAGAAATAGTTCTTCCTCATGTCTAACCTAAACCTCCTCTGGTACAACTTGTGGCCATTCCCTTAGGTCCTCTTTGTTGCCTGGGGAATGTATTTCTGTGCAGTACACACACACAGGTCACTGGGAATGCTTGGCCTCCTGGCAGCCACCCTCTCCACACCCCTCTTTGCCTCCCTGCTGTGCTTTAATCTGGGAAATTAATCCCCCACTTCTCCCACGTGGAGGTCTCTTAATTTTCAAGAGCAGATGATGCACCCTAGGGATGCTGTATGAAGCCCACCAAGGTCCAACCTTTGAGGCAACAACAACCTTTCAAGAGAGACTAAGAAACATTTCCCAGCCAGCAGCTGCAGGACTTACATAACTGGAGAAGATCCTCTCCTCGGGCCTGATGTGCCTCTGGATTTCACATTCGTTTGGCTGAAGGACTGTGATCCCATCATCAGAAAAGACATAGAACATATTCCCGACGCTCAGGCCTTGAAGGGAAATAAAGCAAAAGAAGCAGAATTTTTTCTGTATGTATCCTCCCCAAACAAAACCTGCCTTACATAAACGTCGGTCATTCGGATGCAGTCGGTGCATTCACAAAATCAAATTTCATGTCACAACGAGGGCTTCAAGGAGTGGAGAGGTACAGACACCTTCAAAAATGCATTGCCTTGGTGGCTGCAGCCGTGCACGAGTGTCACTGCTCAGCTCTACACCGATGCACACAGTAGGACGTGGCTCACACAGCCCCTGCACGACACTGCGACCAACTCCGACTGCCATTTTGTTTCCCTATGAGTTCATTCAATAAAGTTTGCTAATAATTGGAGAGCTGAGAAAGAAGTTTTAGCTCAAATTAGTCATAGGGTTGTCCTATTAGAGTCAACTTCTCATACCATGCAAAATGCACGTGCTTAAAGGCTGTCCACAAATAAAAATATATCCTCTTCTTCCTTAAACTCAATGATAGCCACCAAAACAAATACATTTTTGAAATCTTGCAAACTGTAATTCACAAATGTGGAGTACTTCAGCATTGCAATAGCACTCACTTATCCACAACAGGGGCATTCCAGGAGATTTGGGGAGCTGTCTGTCACTGCTTTGCTTTTAGGTCACGCTTTCTCATTTCTGTCATGCAGAAATGTCATGAAACACTGACAATTTAGTCCTTCAGCTACATGCAGTTGCAGGAATGTGCATCTTTAAGAAATGTTTGGGATCTTTTCCAACACTCAAGTTAGAAAGATCCGAGCATCATTTCTTTTTTAGTTTTTTAAATAATCTTTTTTGGTACCATCACCAATAAATGTTTGCAATGACCACTGTCACCCCCAGTAATGTTGATCGTGTACTTATCTGCCAACAGTATGGTGTTAATTTGTAATTTCTTGTTGATTATATTTTGAGCTTAGAGAAGTTCCCAGTTCTACGGATCTGAACATCACAGTGCCTTCAGCTGGGCCAGTGGTAACAGCTGCCTACAGGGTTTCTCACTTCTCAGAGGTGGATTGCAGGATTAAGGCAAATCATCATAGCAGAACTTCACAGTATGAACTCACGTAATTTGGATAAATGTCTTTTTTGGAGAATTTCATACAGTATAGAGTTCAGTGAGGCTAGGAGGGTTTTTTTGAGTTAAAAAGCCCTCTATTTGCGCCAACTAAGTGGCTTCAGAGTACAACTTCTCAGCATCGGGTGTTGCTGTTTGGACAATGTTGAAGCTGAGTCTCTCTACAACACAGCACAGAAATACCCCGGTTTGGGCACCAGGAGCTGGGATCCTCAGATGTGATGCCACAAGAGGGATCATGCACAGAGAAAAAAAGGCACTGAACTCCCATTGACAACTAAGTTACCTTATTGGCTGAGTGCTCATTTTATGAATATAAGGTTAAAGCATTTCACTGGGGCATTTTGGACCAAAATCTGCGCTCGCAGCATGCACACAGCTCCCACCTGCTGCAATGGGATTTGAGTGAACACATCAGAGCTTGGCCCCACCTGGAATGAGTGCACAACACTTCCACGAGGAAAAGGTTTTAATCCTAACAAGTGGAAACAGGCAGGCAACAAACTATGATCATTGTGAAGATGCTCACCGTTATTTTCATGCACAATAGCAGCATGATTATCTGATGCTCCGAATACAATGAGTGTGTATTTCAGAATTGAGGCCTCAATTTGTCACAGAATTACTTTTGTAATGATTTCACCTCAGTAGGCTTTGACTGGGCAAGTCCCACCACTTACTTTGGAGTAAAACGAGTGCAAGCTTTCCTGGTGACTGGACACCATTTCCTAATGGCGTTGAGGTACACTGAGGGTGCACCCTTGTCAGAGTTTATGGAATGAAATCAACATGCTTTTGCAGTCAGTAACCTTCACACTGATTTTTAAACAAAGCAAGCTTTTTGCTAGGCAAACTTAAGTGATCTGCTGTGACTTGAAAGGTATTGCCTAGTCTTGGTTGGGGTACAAACATGAACAAGCCCATGGGAACCAGCAAAACGTCCTCTCTGGGACACTTGCTGGCTGAAGATGCACCAATAACAAGAGCTTTCCTTATTTGAGGAAGAGTCCCATCTAAGACGGGTGAATTGGTCACTGGGGAATACTCTCCTCTGATCCAATATGTGAATAATTCTCCTCAGTTTAATCTAAATGCTTGGAAGTATTTTAGAACTTACATAAGGTAACTAAAAGGCTTTCAGCTTTTTAAGTGCGTGCCTTTATATAACTGATGGCTGCCAGCTGCCACGATAGGCTCCCGTTATCCAAGAATAAAGCAAGCAACACTCACTGTGAAAACAAAGGCTGGCATGAAAACAAATCTCTACTTTACAATTGGGCTACTCATAGCTTTTTATGTGCAAAAACTAAGAACTTACTTGCGTATTGAATAAATATTTCATGAGCTTCCAGTCTCACGTTTAACTGGCAGGTCGTGCTGTGCGCACTCACTTCTGGAGCTTTCCTTCTGCGTGGTCTATGAAAGGTGTTGAGGACAGACTGACTTAAAGAGACAAACTACTTGTGATGCGGCTCTGACTTGCAGCAAAAGCTTGTTCTGTGCAGCGTTCTGACTGGGATCTTCCTAAGGCCTCTAGCTGACACAGGCATTGTGCCGTGAGGATGTGATCATTTAAAGGGAGCTCAAGTCTACCAACCCATCTGTTAATACTTTCCCTTACAGAGACACTTTCATTTTAACAGAATATGTTAAAATACAAAAACCAAGACACCACTCCTCTCTCCAGGCTTTCTATGTGCCACATTTGACATGCTTGATTCCATTCAGTGGATTCTTTGCCTGGAATGGAGGTACTGGACAAATACTACAGGATGCAGCTGGGAATAAACCTCCTTTAAAGATGCTGAATTGCTTAGGAACATCAGCAGCAAATCTGCTCTCAATGCCTGTGTTTTCCCTGTGAACTGCTCATAATTTGTTAAAAATGAGCAAGGTTGATAAGCATCAAGTCCAAATTGTTAAGTAAAGTTATATTAAGACTTTTTGCAACCAACTTCTTAGTTTTCATTAAGCATTACTATGCTTCTACACCTGATAGAGTTATCCAACTACTTTCTTTAAAAAGGAGCACGAGGGATGATTAGATGCACTAAAGATTTAACTTCTAAGCAGAAATTCTTAGTGCCTGGAATGCCATTTTAAGGACCACTGGCAGTATAAAGGCACTCTTTGTGGCCATGCATCAGGCACCTGCAGGTGGCATATTTGGAGATAAAAGCTGGAGAACTGCTTCATATAGTCTTCAACTGGCTTCAGCTGGCACTGGATGGGTGCACATACCTGCACTACCAGTAGGACCTCAGGTGCACCCTGGGGCAGCACTGGTCACCGAGGGCTGGCACTTTCCTTCTGCTCCCAAAACCATTTGAGCAAATCAGAGAGCTCCAAGCCAACACATGGAGCACAGCTCTCATTTGGGTAGATGCAGACATTCCTTATGACATGGTCTCCAAAGCCCTTTCCTAAGCCATCATCTGAACAGAGGGGTGTTAGCAGCAGGCAGCTCTGCTGTGCACAGAGACCTCCATGGGTCTGGAAGGGCTGCAAGGTCCTGGCTTCCCCACATGCATGTGGCAGACCTACAAAGCAGCTCCTTGGGCAACTCAGGAGCCTTCTCCCTGCAGGATGCCAACCGTGGGCATCTCACTGTGTGTTTTAGAAACATTCACAGTACTAGTGCATACAAAATCAAATCAGCTCTGACTTCAGGTGCTTCCACAGTATATTTGAGTCAATTAGCTGTTTAGGATGCTTTACCTCTCATTTAGCTTCCAAGGTACGCAGATGTTGACCTTGTGCAGGGCACACTATAAATTTAATCGAACTAAAGATCTTAACTGCCAATTAAAACAAGGAGAAACGGGGCAACCTTTACCCTGCATCGATTTAAAGGACGGAGGAAAGTAAAACTTGAGGGATTTTTTTCTGCTTAACAGACAAGAACACCATTTTGTTGCTCACCTAGTAAACATCAATACATGCTACTGAGGAGAAAGGGCTTGAATTGTTTGCTTACAAATGCAGCGTATTGAATTTATGCCTTACTTGGTCGATTATGGTAATTTGGGAGCACTTCTGACACTTGCATAATTGTTAATGTAGCTTGAGAATCTCAGGCTACTTGCTTTGGTGGCAGTTTATATAAAATCTGCATTTTTATGTATTTTATCTATTATTATTTCACGGTGGGAAAACGTAAGAAGCTATCAGCAGGACTGACATTGCTGGAGCAACACCTCTCAATTGAATACGTTAGCTTTTAAACTTCTGCTCTGTACGTAATGTGGTAACTGCAAACGTTGGCAGAGTTAGTGGCAGGTCAGTGGAGAATGGCCCATCATGGAATTACTAAAGCAGACAAGCACATTATCACTACGACAAAAGAACTTTACTGCAGTACCTTCCTCTCGCCACAGTATGTTTGCAACTGCAGCATCAGAAAATTGGGGAAGCCAGAAAATAATCAAGAAAAAGAAAAAAAACAAAGCAATGTCAAAATTCTCATTGTAGCAAGTAACTGGATTAATATTCAAGTTTAAATGAACTGTTTAACTTGTGAAAAGTCCGAAACATTCATCCCAACACAGAAAACCATCAGGACAGGTGCTTATTTCAGAACACATCTGCTCTGCATGGAGGCAATTCTGAAGCTATGAGGCGGGCCAAATCCTCGCTGATAGGAAGACAGCTTCAGCCTGTGCAAAGATCAAAGCCTTACAGAACTGAAGATGCCATCTTCAAATGTAATTGGAGGTATGGTACAGGCTGTGACTTTCCTACAGTTCCAGCGAGCACACATGTTACCTTTCAGAAGCTGGAGATGGGCAGTTATGGCAGCTACACGCTTTGCAGCATTTCTTCTCTGAATTTCATGCAAGAGCTGCATTTTCTTTTAGGATTCAGACCCTACATCTATATTTGAATTTCTATTTAGGATACATCCAATTATTTCTCAACATACTGTAATTTTCCTTGCTCAAGTATTCATGATATTAACAAGAGTACATAAATCTGTTTAATGAGGAAAGGAATATATTTCCTGAAGAATTGCCATGAGAATGCATATTTATGGCCAACTTCTGTATTAACAGCCAGAAAATAGCAAAAATCACATTTGCACCTAGACTTTTAGTATCACCAAGAACCCAGGCAATCTCCCAGGTAGTTAAGGCAGCAGAATTAAGAAGGCTCAGGCCTCTGTGAGCTTTTCCATAGGGACAACTAATCACCTCCTTCATTAATTGTGTTCTGGGGACAGCACAGACAAGGCAACAGTGCCACACTCCAGTGGGAGACACACAGCTAGGAGTTGCTGCGAGAACATTTATCTCTGAAGTGGAAGATAATTTCATGCCAAGGGAAACCTATTTTGCTAGTCAGAGATGTAAATAAAGACAAAATAAATAACCCAATCAGAGCATCTTTCAAGCATCTAAATATCTGAGAAATTCAACTTGCAACTAGCTGAAAAAGTCTTGTACAGAAAACAAAAAAAATCTATTTCTGAAACCGTATCTCGTGCCACAAAATCTTACATTTCGGATTCTTTGATATCCAAAAATACTGCCAGTTCATTACTTCAGTAAAGTTGTTACCCACGCCAGCACAGTTCTGGCACATGAAAGGCATCGCTGTCCTGCACAAGCTGTTTTACCTTCCCCACACAACTCCTTCTCAAAACCATAACCCATCCTCACGACTCAGAGCCCCACGTAATGCATGCAATGGATTACGTTATTAAACTGCATTTGTCTCATCTCACTTTAAATACGCTTTAAAGAAAGAAGTATGTGGTAAATGAAGCTTACGGGTCTTTCTTGCGGAATCTTCTATGAAAAGTGAAGATATGTCCTCGTCCACTCCCACTTCATTTTTAGCAATGCAGGTGTAGGCACCAGTGTCTTCATACCGAACACTGCTGATGTGGAGCTCACTCCCGTTTGCTGCAAGAGAGAAACCCATGAGCAGAGCTCCTGATTGCTGCTATCCAGCTCTATCGCAGCCTCCTGCTCCCACGACAGCAGGGGCTTTGGGGGAATCCTTATGAGAGCTGATGTGTTGCTTCTTTCCATCAGCACATACAAACTTGGTGCCAGAAATGAACAAAGGAAAATATGGAAGGTGGACAGTAACTTAAAGGTATGCCTTGTTAAATATTGCTTGGTTCAGTGGAAAAACAAAATTAACACATTGACTTTGCAAATGGTTTTTTTTACCACATCGCCAAAAAGTTGCGTTTGGGAGAGGTCTCTCAAAACACCCCCCATCATTTTGATTTCCCAAGTGGGATCATTATCCAAAACCTTTGGAAGATTTTGCGATGCTGCACCCAAGACAAGAGTAGCTGTGCTGCCAGTGCTGGTGGAGGGCTGCAATGCACCGTGGCACAGGGCAGCAAGGAGCTGTTTTTTAATAGTTTTGCAATTCGCAAAGAAATACGATCGATTTTTCACTGCGTCTGTTACATCCTTATTTGCAATGTAGGGACCAACAGAAGGTGGCTGAGGAAAGACACGAACAAACCATGTAATGTGTCAGACCCAAACAATTTAATGCACTGTTCCTCTGATGTGCAAAGACATACGCAGGAGGAAAGGCAGCGAAGAATCAGGAGCAATGTCTTTTAACAGAGCACTGTTACCACTTATATCAATCAATACTGTCTTTCCTGAGAAATTCACCAGAGAAAAAGATAAAAAGAAAGGCTTTGAAACACCATTTTCAACAACTGTGGCTTAGTGAAAGTACAAGAACCTCCAGCTTAAAGTGCAAAATAATTCTCCTTAATCCCCACCTACAGTACTTTAATTAATCACGATTCCGTTCTTACCTAGGAGCGTGAGCTGTTTGGATAGTTTTGGCACGATATCCATGCCGTTCTTCAGCCAGGTAATTCGGGGATTAGGGATGCCTTCAGCATGGCACTTGAGGCTGGCCGACACGCCGGGCTCCTGCGCCTGCGTCTCAGGGTAGACACGGATCACCGGCGGCACTGCGGGGACACGGAATGGAGATGCTGAGCTCAGCCACCAGCCCACGGCTCTCAGCTCAAAGCTACAGCCCGACTTGGAGCAGAACACAGGAAATAATAGAAGAGAACAAACTAATAAAGCAACGCCAGGGAACAACTTGGATATTGCATGTGGTGTTGAGGCCACTCTGGCTTGCCTTCGTTAAGCGACTGATTGAACTTGAGTGAAGTTGGATTAACACCTGAGGAAGGTACTCACACATTGAGAAATTAACATTTAAATTCTATTGAATCCTTTTAAGGGAGGAATTCAGGTCCTGCACACTGTTTTCCGGTTAGATAGACCACAATTCAACATTTTAAATATGCATAAGAAAACAGCCTATATATTTACTGCCTGTTATTCTAAACAAATAAAGTGTTCATAACTTATTTTTCTGAGATGCTTGCAAACTGTGACTTACCTTGTTTCAGGAAGCCACCTCTGAACCATTTAATACACTAAATTGGCAGAACGACCAATTATATTACCATTTCAGACAAGCCCATCGATTTTCAATCATGCTGCTTTACTGCTCAAACCAACCAGACTTAATACTTCCCATTAACTATTTCTTAACGATATTCTCACCTTCTCTGCACAGTGCTCCTCCTGGCACTCCCAGGGCACACGTATTCAAGAATTAAACTTATTAAAACTTCTCACTGATAAAATTTTGGGGAGAACAAAAGGACCAGCACCATCCCAGTTAGCAGTGCTGATGGCATTGGAAGGGCAGTCTTGGGCTGCTCTGCTCTATAATCAAGTAGTCAGCTTTGAGCCAGACAGGAGTTGTTGGGACTCAACATGCAGCTGTAGGAAGTTGTTCTCTTCTGTAAAGCCATCCTCAGAATGGATGCAACACGTGGGTCTGGGCAACCCAGGGGCCCAACTCCAGGAAAATGAGCCACTCGTACCAAGGTCAGCAGGGGCTGACAGGGGTCAAGGAGAACGTGCGAGTGTGGATGGAGGGCACAGCAAAGCACAAATGAGTCAGTAAAAAAGTTCCACTGGAAAACACTGGTTTAAAGTACCTAACCCCCTACTGTGCTTTTACAGAGCCCATCGTTAGCCTACAGGACTGACAAAATTAAACGCACTCAACAGTTGCTTTAGAATAAAATGAAATCTGTGTTTGCAGCACGCCATATATCCACATATCCATCTGGGGATAGTTTGAATAATTATGCTCACTAGCACACACTTTACATCTTTCTATTTCTATTTTTTTATGAGCCATACCAGAGAGAGACGTATTTTACCCCTGTCTAACCTACCAGCTGCTTAAAAAAGCACTGAGTCATCAGCTCTGGTTAATACTTGGAATGAAATCAGCCATGACAGAAAGCCCTCAAGTCTACTTGTTTTTATAGCTTTAAAAGAGAGAGATTGTTCAAGTGTAATCGGAGAGGAAACGCCTGGAGGCAACTGGGAAGCAAAAAAAAAAAAAATGAGGACATTTAGCAAAGGCATATCTTTAAATCCTGCTTCTGCACTGGCCAGGTGGACTTATTTCCTTTTCTTCCGCTTCCTTTGCTTACAAAGAAAAGGAAATGTGGCTGTAAGGAGCACAGCAGTCAGCACTGCACTGCGTAAGAGCTTTTTAATCAGGGGGATACCAAGAAGTCAGGACTTTTCTTTAAATTGGGTATGCAGTTTCTAAATACAAACACTCGCTGTTTTTTTTTTTTTAACCTTCTGTTTCTGCCATTACTGTCAGGACTGATGCTCCACCTGACTTCAGGAGATGCCCAATGGAGTGGGAGAAGAGCAGAGAAAGCTCTGCAGCTGGAACAGCTGGGGCTTCTCTGTGCATCAATACGAGATACAGCATCCACGTGGTTTGGGTGAGTAAGAGTCAGGAGCTTCTGATTCCTGCTGTACCTTGGAAAGTTAATTTCAGTTCCTATGAGCAAATATCTCCAGGTACAGTAAGAAACTCATTTCCATCCGCTTTGACAGAATTGTACAAAGGTCCTGCAGCCAATGCCTGTTTCACATGAGATCTGTTTGCTACTAAGAGCATTTGTGGAACTAAATTTAGGACTGAGGTCCACTGAAAGCCTACATCATTTACTGAGGTTGGATAACACCTCCAAGATCATCCAGTCCAGCCGTCCACCCACCACCACCATTTCCCCATTAAACCATGCCCCTGAATACAACAACAAGCAGCTGGTTTGCCTTCTAGAAAAACCTCATTAAAAAGAATGCCACAAGAATCAAGCCGGTGAGATTCCCAAACTGTGGTGAATCCAACTGGTGCTCAATGATCCAGAGAGCTTCTCCAACTCTCCGGAAGGAACTCATTGCACAATGTAGCATCAACATTCTGAAAACTGGCTGAACTTGAAATCACAGCAAGGCGTGCACCTTTTCAGTAGTGATTACTAAGTAGACTGCTTGTTTTCACCTTGCAAAAAAGTGTGTTGCACCTCTGTTCTTGCTTTCTTATCATTCTCCTGCTCCTTTCATTTTAAAACTATTTCTCCTCACTTGTCTTGCATAATTCATTGCACAGGTAAGTTATTGCATGCAACTGCCTTGTGATAACAGCAAACTGCAGAATGCATTTTTATTGTCCTTGTTACAAATTAATACATTCCAAGTAAGCACATTTTACTTTAAACTTGCAAAGATTTCAGCTCCAGACTTTGGAATATATGGATTACCCTCTGCTATTTCCCTTGGTGAATATATATCATTACTAACCATTACTGTGCCTGCAGCCAAAGGCAATATAAAAAGGCTATTATCTTAAGCAAAGTTGAAAGAAAAAAAAAAAGGCACTCAGACAAGTAGGAGATTAGGTAGGTTGCCTACTACTGCATACTGAGTAGTCCCTTCCTTACAGTTCCTTACAGTAGAACAACTCTGGTGATAAAGCACATGATGGCTACAGATAGCACTGTCAAGCCCTAAAGACATACACTGCTGCTGCAGCACCTATATACTGCAGTGGTTATTTAAATTAATACATTAATCATTCATTTCAGATGTTTAATCTTCCTATGTATGATGTGAAAGGAGTTTCCAGCCTTACGTATTTTCTCTTGAAATGCCACATTAACAAAACCTGCGTTTAAAACATCTCTGTTATTTGAAAACTTGTCCTATTGGACATTGGGCTGAAGATTGAATTGTTTTTTTTCCCAGCTAGTCTCAAGGAATACAATATTCTGATTTATGCTGATGCTTTGCAGAGTGCAAGGACCAAGGAAAATGATGCCCCACACTCAGCAGTCTCTTGATTTGCAAACTATCAATTTTCATAGTTGATTACAATTTTATGAGATTCTTTATCCTCACCAACTCTTTTTCCTCTTGAAAGTGATAAATGGCCTTTCTTCCCTACAGTCGGTGCATGCTGAACACATTTCCCAAGCAATATCCATACACAGGAGAGAACATAATTTTCCTACTGTTCTTCACTTTTCCTGATCAAAGTCACAGCACCCAAGATGAATTTTTCATTCCTAAACTCGGTGCTGCCTTTCAAGAGGTTTTTTTTTTCCCACAGGCACAAAGGGCCACATCTATAAAGGCACTGATTTACAGTTATAACTGCTGGGAATCCTAAGGTCAGTGAGCCCACACTGAAGATACCCCAACCACATGTCAAACATGTGCTTTGTGCCCCTTGTTCAGCAAACACTACCCAGGGGTTTGGGCCATCCACGTGGTGGGCTTCACGCTTTCTGCTTAGCAGAGCTCTCACCTCTGTTTGTCCACGGGAGCCTCTGGGTCCGTCCCTGTTATTTATGGGATCCCGGAAGAGCTGATCACATCCTGATGAATATTGCACATTAAGCTTCCTGGAGCCCTGCACTAAAAGTTCTGATAAATATTTCAGTGGGTTTGTTCAGTAGTTTGCACAGGAGCAGCAGGGCAGCATTGTTTGGATACCTGCTCAGGTACCACAGAGGTCCAACAACTGCATGCTTCACCTGATTCTATGTACTAGATGTGGATACCAGGGAAGCATTGCATGGCATTTCCCCCCCTTCAGCTGGGTGAGAAAAAAAAACAACAAAACAGAGCATGCAAAGAGGGTTTAGGTGGCTGGGATTGGATCATTTTAAGGAGAAAAAGGCAATAAAAGGAAAAGACCTTGTAAGCTGAAGCTATGAGCCTCAGCAATGAGCCAGACAGTACAAAAAGGATCAGAGGACCCTGGGAGAGGGACTGCACCTCCCAAAGGCACTGAATCAACTGAAACCTGCCCAAAGTGGGGGCCTGCCCGCACAGACACAGAGCTTGGCAAGGATGGGGATAAACCCACTGCTTCCAAGTGGTTCTTCTTTCCCTCTTTATTCCCCATAGATAAACTTGGAGTTTTCTCTATTTCAAATGAAAGAAAAAAAAAAATCAGATTGTTTTTTGTAGAATAAAACAGAACAAAACAAAAACTAAATCCGAACTGTCTGTTTGATGTTAGAAGTGTATTATCCCCTCCCTGGAGGAGGCACGCAAGCAGATACATCCCAGTTCTGGCTGACTTACTGCTGTCACATCCCCTTACAGCTTTAGCCTAATACAGAACAGCAGCAGCAAAAAGTCCACATTGAAGATGGAGTTTTCAGCCTGATGCAGACAGACAGAGAGAATCCCCAGTGCTGAACAGAGACAATGAACTATACTTAGATTCTCTACATCTTCACTCAGTTCAGCTCAACTTTTCCCCTCTTCTCCTGTCAGAAGAAATTCCTCAATTTGTCCTTTATGGTTCTAAAAAGCAAGAAGGATTTCTGAGATGTGCTCAGCCTCGGGATGCATCTGAGAGCGAGCAGCGCTGAGCTGCCATCGACCCTGCAGCCCCACCATCAGCAGCTACAGAAGCAATGCCACCAGCAGGAGAGGAGGGAACTTAGGGATGTGGGCAGCCTGCAAAATCCTGGTTCTGCACAGCCTAGCAGCTCCTCTGAGAATACCTGGTGCTCTAAAACAAAGTGTTTTCATTCTACAGTGTTTTCATAGAATCATTCAGGTTGGAAGAGACTTCTAAGATCACTACATCCAACCCCAGCCCACCCTTACGCCCACTGCCCATATCCCCAAGTGTCACATCCCCCCATTCTGGAATAACTTCAGGGACAGTGACTCCCCTACTCCCTGGGCAGCTGTGCCAGTGCCTGACTGCTCTTTGGAGAAGACGTTTTCCCTCATACCCAAGCTGAACCTGCCCTGGCACAACGTAAGGCCATCCCCTCTCATCCTATTGCTGTTATCCAAGAGCAGAGGCTGGCTCCCACCTCACTACAGTCTCCTTTCTGTAGTTGTAGCTTTCTAGTGAGCCTGGGCTGACAGCAGAATGCACAGCATTTTTCTGCAGTGTTTAATGACCATGTAGCAACACTGAAAATACAACACATAAAATAATAATAATAATATTATTATTATATATAAAATAATAATTATAATATTATATAATATTATATAAATATTATTATTATTATTCCTTTTTATTTTTGTATAATTGAGTTCTTGCACTAATAAGAAAACCCACATGCAGCTATGCTATGAAACTTCCACTTAAAAAGCAAACATGGAGTTCAACCCAAGCAGCAGGCACAAGCACACTGCAGCTCTGAAACATGAGCACAGCCCTCCCTGCACTCCCCTCGGCTTTCCTCCCATTCTGGCTTTAGTTTCAAAGCATTTGGGCCTTAAATTCTCAGTGATGATAAAGACTACATTGTTGCCTGCCAACTAAACTCCATTCAGGCCTCATAATATATCACATAATATAACGGGATTAAGTTGTTAGCATGCTTTCCTTTCAGCTGCCATTTGTCAAACAAATAGCACTTTGAGGAAGGAAACCTATTTTCCCAGCTGCAGCACACACAATCTAGTTATCCATATTGCTCAGATTTCGCAGTTTACTCTCTCAAAAGATGACAAATTATTATGTGGAAACATTAAGCCTGTTTTCATTCAGATCAAGCGGATGCTTCGCGCTCTTCCCCAGGCACTTGCATGGGTGGAGCATGGAGGCATGGCCAAAGACCTGAGCTGCAGACAAACCTATACCCAACATCCGAGCATCCCTAAAGTGCCTAAATGTCTCTTTGCACTGTTTCCCTTTGTATCAGCCTCTGTTAACCGGGTGTAGTTACCTGCTCTCATCTGTTGATGAGCTCTCTTTGGCAGAGGTCTGCGCACACCTACAGAAGTAACTAAACAGTAATTTTCCTTGTAAAGGATCAACTGTAACAAAGCTGCTGATTTGATACATTCATAGCAGAACGCAGAGAAATGTGAAGTAAAGACGGGATAGGATTTATGAGGTTTCAGGTTGGACCGTGATTTTGTTGGTCCCTTGCGCTCTCATTCTCACCCCAACAAAGAGTGGGGCAGTGACATCTGTATCCCATTCCTGTGCGAATTGGACACAAAATGGGAACATGAATCACACCCAGAGGGCTGGATTAGCTGTAGGATCATATCACATGGGTACAGCACAGAGAGACCTGCAGGCAGGGACTGAAATGTGTCCCTTGCTCTGTGCAAGGGTAGGATGGGCATGAAACAAATGCCCCATGAAACACCCGTCTGAGTCAATGTAATCTTAAAGTCAGCCCAACTGAGTCTAACCCAGAGGAAGGATGGCAAACATCTGAATGAAAGTCCCACCAGGCTCAAACGTGGCTGAATGAGATGCTGGAATACGGTTTTCTCACTCGGAAAACCATTTGCCCTCATTTTGCAGCCCAGCAAAATGCCTTCAGCTGATGTGAACAGCCCGCTGCTCAACCAAGCTGGCTACAGCCAGGTAACGACTTGTATATTGCTGTGAGGTGGATCACTAGTTTTGGAAACACAGTACTGTATTTATTTAAATATCCTGGCCTATTTCATGCAACAGAAGTTATTCTCTGGAAAATGAAAGTACTGAAGCAACAAAAGCAGTCATTAGTCCTAGAGAGGCTCCAAAACACTGCTCTAAAATTCTCTGGAAATGCTACACAAATGGTAAAACAAGCTGTCAGTGCCAGCTACAGCCCAGCTAACGCCACACACGTCTCCCCCTGCTCCCTTTCTTTCGATTGCCCGTGCGATAGCACAAGTGAGCCAACTGCTGGTGCCTCTGCTCTGCTACACAAAGCCAATTTGTTGCGTGGCTCTTCGTGTCTTTGTGCGAAGGAGATTAACCCGCAGCTTTGCTTACAGGAACATTTTCAGTGGATTGTCACACATGCCATTTACTAACCATTCACCTGAAGGATGTGGGTCTGATACAGCTCTTCATAGCCGTAGGCATGACAGGTGTAATTGCCCATGTGAATAGTTGTTACCTTGGTGATGTAGAGGGAATCGTCTTCTCCAAAATCCTGTAGCAACAAAAGACAGGAAAGGCACCTTATTATTTAGTAAAAGCGTGTTACGCACCGCGGGAAGGGAGGTGACCTGCTCAGCAGTTTGGAGAGCAGCACAGCTTGGGAACACAGCCTGAATTCCGAACAGCAAATTTCAGAGTTCATAAATCAATGTGAAGAAGAAAATGAGCAGCAATTTCAGAGTAAGGCAAAGTAACTCATCTGAGAATATGAACTTTTGTGCCGGTTGTTAACAAGGTGCTTTTTGCACATAAAAATAAAATAAAAAAAAAAGATAGCAATCTCCAGCTGTTTAATTTATAGAGAAATTTAACATCTAGCCGTTAACCTCAGGTGCACAGCACACAACTCTGGGGTGGGTTGAGGCTTCCTTTAGCTGTGCTGGTTCTCAGGAAACACACGGTAACCTTGAGACTTGATGAGGAAGAGCTGAGGCTGTTTGTCAGCTCTCAGACCACATCCCAGGCAGAAGACAGGGAAAAAAAAACAAAGGTTTTCTGTCAGAGAAACTTCCTTGGAGTCAGCCTGCCTTCATCCATAACTGGCTGACAAATATCCTTCTTTTTATCCCTTCCCTTTCCCACATCTGCTGTCACGCTGCAATGTTTGCTTGTCAGCAGGGTGCAGGTCTGCTATTAGGGAGGTTTGGGCACTGAATATTTTGCATAACTGCTCTGTTTAGGAATATACGTCAAATTATAGTTAACAGAATGGTAGCACTGATGGGTACACAAAGCAGCTTCTTTTGTTACTCTATTTACAGCCCCCAAAGTGTTCATACCTTCACAGAAACTCAGGAGGATATACTTTAAGAACAGTTAATGAGCTTAAAGAATGATTTCACCTTAATTAATTCCATGCATGAAGCATGCTAAATTCAACTCCTCGCACAATTTCATCACAAAAGCAAGGTAAAAAGCAATTAATAATCAGGGTGGCATGAAACCAGCGCAACAGGGTGAGTGCTGGAGAGCTGGAATGGCAAAGTCACACTCCTTGTGCAATCCTTCTGCTGCTCTTCCTCCCCACAGCCCAGCCCTGGGGCAGCAAAGAGAAGCGTGGGGTCTTCCCTGATTTTTAGACATGCTACAAGGCAGAGCTTGCAGGTGGGACAACATTTTGTTTCTCTTCTGATACGAGGGGGACAGAAACAAGGGCACAGCCTCTGCTCTCCACTGCCCATGGCGTGCTGCTGCTCTGACGTGCACAGATCTGAGCAACAACAAAGCCAAAGATGCCCCTGAAATTCGTTATCTACAACCAAAAGCATCTCAGACACAAGTGGTGCTTTGGGTGTCAGGCAGATTGGGCACCCAGAATGAGGTCAAGCTACCCCATACATCACAGATATACACATTGAAAATTTCCCTTTTCCAGCATTTGCCTGCTTTCTGGCCAGCTAGATCTTTCCTGCTGAAAAACAAAGGCGCAGGAATAACTGCAAATGGAAGAGCTATCACCCCTGCTCAAATGATATTTGCACGAGAGAGAGATGACGCTTGCAGCAGAGGGGAGTCAATAACAGTTTTTCAAGTTAAGCCCAAAGCAACTCAGATTGAGTTCAGGTCAATAAAAGCAAGACGACCATTTTTATGGAATGATTTATACGGAGTGGTAGAAATACAGTAGAATGCAATCTTAAAGGAAGCAATGTGCTTAGAACTGAAAAAGGTATCGCAGCAAAATATTGTGAATGCTTGGTCTGTGCTCTGTAATTGTCTTTTTATGGACAGCCTGTTTTTTTTCAACCCATACAAACGTATTAACGTAATACATTTAATACAATAACTCTTATAAAAAACAAACTGATGCCAGATTACAGGATTATTCTCTTCCTCTCCAAATGCATTTTTCTTGTAAAGAGAAGCTTTTGTTGGTAAAAGTATGGTTTATAGCATTTAAAAAACTATTTTCTGTCTTCCAGCACTTAAAAAAGGTCATCAAATGCAATTCTGACGATGCTGTACCCTTCCTATCAGGCTCAGAAGGGAAATAATCTGCTCTACATTAGAGCTCACATGAGACCACAACATTATTGAGAACCCCAGGGTTAGAGATGGGAAGGAAAACGTAATCACCAGATTTAGGTTCAATACTGAATCTTCTGTTGCTACAAAAAGAACACTGAATTCTGTAACAAATCAGTGATTCTTCCCGTGTGCTTATTTATTGCAGCTTACAGTTTCTCCCTGTGTTTCCCTGTGGATGTAATTAGTGCATGAAGATTTCATGGTTACATTTGATATATATGCATGCATTCTTATGCACAAACACTTGCTGTTTATTCTCCGTTACATAAAGGTGCAATTTTTTCCCAATAAAACTTCTCAAAAACCATTTACCATAAAATCTCTTTAGAGTCAAGTTCTGAACTTGTTCCACCATCCATCCATCCATCCTCCCAGCCACCCCTCCATACAAACACATTCACATAAAGTTTCTTGGGGAGAACTGGAGGGAAGAGGTTAAAAGGGAACGAGAAGAATTCATGCTTGAAAAAGGCAGAGGAAACATTTCTGTGTGCTTTGACTTTTTCAGATGGCTTTGGCTTGCAAAGCCAAGTTCCCAAGTCACCACAAGCCTGAAAGCACTCAGGAGCCATAAGCATCTATAAAAATGATGTAACACAATTCTTGCCCCCTAAAGCTATCACACCTTTCAAGCAGAGCATCTCATGGCTGCCCAAAGTCACACTGCTGTGCAACCCTGGGAGCTGGGCCTGCCCTACAATTCCCCCGCAATGCAAAAAAGGCAAACTGCAGAGACATGTTTATGTACAGACCCATGACAAAGGATAAGCAAGCAGGAGAAAGGGAAGAAAGTCACTTCTGGGGCATAGTTACCCTCTGTTACTGCTGAAGCTGAGTTTTCTTGTGAAGGGGAAGAAATAGAAGCGATGTAAATGTATGAGCAAGAGGCAGAAGCCCTTCTAACAGCTACAGAGCAACAGCAAACCTTGCAAGGAAAGCAGTCAGGTAAGGACAAGGTGTTCTCACCTCCATTTTATCAATTTCATTATAAAATAATATTATACGTTCTGGGTTAAAAACTAAAAGAAAAAAAAAAAATCAGCAAGCTGTGCTTATAATTTCTCATAATTGATAAGGTCATCTAGTGACAGCTGACAAATGGACTCCCCCAGCAGTTCATCTCGTGTTCTTTCTCTCTTTTTGGAATCAAAGTTCTCTGCCCTTCATGAGCTTCTTTTACACCTTGCAGCTACCCTTCAAACAAAGGGCTGATTGAGTGATCTCGGGATACATTTGAACTTCTCAAGATTAAAAGAAAAACACCACCCTGCATTTAAATTGATAACTGCTCAGTAATCTGAAACACACAGCCCAAGTTGCCACTGCACACACTCCATTTCAAAAAATAACAAAGCAGATCCAAAAAAAAAAAAAAAAAAAGATATGCACTTTTTTGTACTGAATTTCCCTTCCATCACCACTGATTACCCAAGGCATCAATTCCTCCAAACAGAAGATTTTTCACATTTATTTACCCATTCCTCCTTTCTAATGCATTCCCTGGTCATGCAATCTGCTGCTGCTTGGAGACACGGCGCTTAGAAATGTGTAAAACATCACCTATTGCTTGTAAATCCAGCTCCTGTTCTGACACAGGTGCGATGCGTTATGGAGCTGGAATGCCACAAATCTCCAGCTCTGACACGCAGGGATGGGAGTGGGCACAGTGCTGGGGCAGCCTGCCGACACCGCGATGGAATCCACGTGCTTTCCTTGTCAGAAAGCTTTCCAACAGGACTTGGGGTTGTTCCGACACAGAGGGGGAACATATAGGAAACGGCTTGAAATTTTGGCAAAATTTTCCAAAATTTTTGGAAAACCTCCTGGTTTTCCAGGAGGTCTTATTTTAAAGAGCAATTGGCATTTGGCAGATTAGGGGTTTTTTTTTGGTTTTCTGTTTTTTTTAATCACTGAAAGGCCTGGGTTGCAAAGGACCACAACATTCATCTCGTTCTGACCCCTGCTATGTGCAGGGTCACCAAACCCCCAGATTGAGCTGCCCAGAGCCACATCCAGCCTGGCCTTGGAATAGAAGGCCAGAATAACTTCCATTTCCTGGAAGAAAACAAACCCAAACTAGTCTTAAATGGTTGGAAGGAACAAACCTAGATGAGCTCAAGGAAACCTTCTCACAGCTCTGGTACCTCCTTCAGACAAAGCCAGTCCTGGCGCTGAGGCTTGCTGGTGCCACTGGGTTTCCACTAGAGGGAAATCAACGCCGTCACACTTTCATAACAACCAACACAGAGATGAAAATTCAACTGTTTGCTTTAAAATGCCTGCCTGATCCTCAGAGTCCTGGAAATCTCTCTCTGATAATGTTTACGGGATTTTAAAACAAAATGTACCCAAGCATTTAATGAGATTATTATTATGCAAAATCTCCAACAATGGCTATCACTTGGAAAGTGATTTCTCCACACTAATCAAACGTCTCTGATCTTTTTTTTACAATAGACTCATGAGTGATTCATATAAAAATAATAAAAACTAAATTAGTCATGGCCTCTTAAATCACTTTCTTTGGTGCTTTTAATAATTCATTCCCAGAGACAAGCTGAGAACTTATGCTTCATTAATATTATTTGTTCTTGGTTTTACACACGGCAGCTCACACTTCAGTGCTCTACATGGAGAAAAATTCAGCCTTAAGCAAATGCCAGAAAACTGTTGCAAACACAGCCCAGTGGGATATTAATTTATCTCTGTTCCTGTTTTGCTGCTTAAAGAATTTAGCACAACAGAAGACTTTGCTGGTGAGCCAGAAAAAGTTTTTTCTTGACTTATTTGGATACAGCCTTTTAAAATAACCGTACAATTATAGCACAGATAAAAAATGGATGACTTTATATCCTCAGAAACCCAGAGAGATGATACGAAGAAGAAAATCCACGGTGGGTCTTCCTGCTGGTGGAAGGAGGGATGATTCAGGGAAGCGTGTCTATTAATCGGATCTACCACCCA